CGCCCCGGCCGCCCGAGCGCGCATTGTTGCCAGCGTCGCGGCCGGGCGGAAGCGCGTAGGGAGGCCGCGGGGGGACGACGCGCATGCGCGGGCACGCCTTGGGGGGGGGGCGCCGCCGCCGCCATCTTTGTGACGGGCAAGAAGGAGGGCAGGGCGAGGAGGGGGGTGTCCTCATCTTGTCAGGCCTGGGCTGTTCTCCCCCGCGGCTTCCAGGGCTGTGAGAAGGGGTAGGGGGGAGGAGAAGCAGGGCAGCGGGTGCTAGCAAGGGCATGGGTGCCGGGGAAGGGCAGGGGTCGGGTCCAGCCATGCCCCTCACCACCTGCAGCCCCAGACTCCTGAGAGGGCCAAGGGGCCTGACCTTGCTGCCCTCAGACCCCCCAGCTCGCCCTCGGGGCCTGGCCCTGCTGTGCCATGTCCCCTCACCTCTCTGTGCCTGGTCCTGCTGTGCCATGTCCCCTCGCCTCCCTGTGCCTGGGCATTTCAGGGGTGCAAGGAGACACCCCCCCTACCCTAAGCGGGGCTTGTCGTCCCCCCCAACCCCCCCGGATGGCCCGGTGCTGCCAGCTGTAACCGCAGCCGCAGCCAGGCCGTAACCCAACTCCCTCGCGTCTGATCCCCCGCCTCTCCGGGTGCCGAGGCTGGTGGGGAGACGGCAGGCGAGGACGGGACTCTGGGAGCAGCGGGTCTGGGGGTGGCTGAGCCGATATCGGTGGGAGAGAGACCCTTGAGCACGGCCGTCCCCCATCTGGATGCCACAGGGTTGAGGCTGGAGCCGTCATGAAGAGCCTGAAGGCCAAGTTCAAGAAAGCAGACGTGAGTGCCGTCCCCAGGGACCTGGGGACGTGGGGACTTGCCCGGGGATGTCCATGGGGACATGGGGACCTGCCCTGGGATGACCCAAGTTTCACAGGGAGACAGGGACCTGCCCTGGAATGTCCATGGGGACACGGGGATCTGCCCTGGGATGTCCCCAGTTTCACAGGGACATGGCAACCTGCCCTGGGACATGGGCTGGCTGCTCACCATGGAGACGGCAGCCCCATGGAGGTTGTCACTGGCACCCTGGTCGGTGGGATTGAGCTCCCGGTGTACCCAAGTGTGCTCCCAGGGCCATTGTTGGGAACGGGGCAGAACAAAGGAAAAAAGGCAGCAGCAGGGAGAGGGAAGCAGGTCCCAGGTCCCTGCGCTGTCCCCTTCTTGAGGAAGGCTGCCAGCTTTCCAGCTGTCACAACCAGTGGAACCAGCATGTTGATGCTCCTCAATTATTCAGCACCAGCCTGGCATGGGGCCACAGGCTCTCGCCATCCTCCACACGGGGCAGAGGGTGACAGTGCTGTCCCCAGTGCCTATGGCAGCACCGAGTGGACATGTGCGCTGGGGACACGTGGTCACAGGTTGAAGTCCCTCACGTGGAGCCTGTGGACCTGCCCTGCTCAGGGTGCTCTGTGCCTCAGTTTCCCCACACTGCCCTGGACGCTTCTGTGAGTGTGGAGCGGTGAGAGGCTCCTGCTGTCCTGCTGCCCCCAGGGCTCTTCCAGGACAGCTGCCTGGGGATGCTTTCCATTTTGGGGTTCCCTCCTTGAGGGGAGTTTGCCAAGCCCCCGAGATGCAGGCAGGGGGTGCTGCCCCTCCTTTGGCCCCAGGGCAGGGGGTCCCACATCCCCCTCTTTGGGGAGTAGGATCTTGGTGGCAGGAGGATGCTCATCCCCTTTGTTTGGGGGTGCATTGCTGCCTCACCTTGGGGTGGGAAAGCTGCCCCCCACCCCAACCCCTCACACTTTAACTGGGACCAGCCTGGGTGCTGCTCCCTGACTGGGACCTTGGTACCTGCTCTGTGGCAGGGATGCGGAGATGCCTGAAGCTCTGGATGCTGAGGAGGGAGGGAAGGAGGGAAAGAAGGAGGGACGGAGGGATGGAGGGAGGCGGATCCTGGCTCCCACTGCGGCAGGACCCGGCCCCCGCCCGGGCAGCAATGCTGGACCGAGCTGGGGTCTGGGGTCCACGGCCTGGAGCCCCAGCCTGCCCTCGCCCAGGCGGGGGGCAAGGGATGCATGGCTGCCCGCCGCCTCCTCCTCAACACCATGAAGCAGATCTGCCTCTGTGCTGCTGCCTCCTTCGCGGTACGTCCCTGTCCTCCATCTCCGGTCCCCTTTGGTCACGTCCTCCGGGGTAAGCCGTGTCACCTCCACCCCACCTGGCCGCCCTCCATCCCCATACCCATCCCGGGGCTCGGCTGCGTCCTCTCCAACCTGCTTTGTCCTTGCATGACAAGGGTGTGGGGGGGGGACGGGCACCACCCTCCCAGTTTGCCCAATAACCCTGAGAAACTGGTTTATTCCCTGCCCCTGGATGGGGTCTGCTGGCCCCACAGGGCTGAAGGGTCTTGCAGGGGCACCAGGCGGGCACACTGGCACAGGTCCTGTGCCTGGCACTGGGCACCAGGCTGGCGAGGGGCAGGATGCAAGCAGCTCCCGAAAGGTGACATCCATTTCCTGCTGCCGCGGCCGCAGAGAGCTCCGGTTTGTCGTCACAGGCTGCGGGGTGAACCCAGGGCTTTCCGTGCTGGTCCTGTCCCGCTGTGCGTCGCTCCCTTGGGATGGGGATGTGTGGGACCACTGGATCAGCAAGTCCTCACCCAGCCCCAATCCTGCACAGGGCTGGGGACAGCATTGTGCCCCATATATCCCAGGGAGGCTGGAGCCATCCCAGGGGACCTGCTCACTGCCAACAATGCTCGCCCTGGCTTGGTCCCTTCCTTGGTGGGGAGCAAAGCAGGGCTGTGAACAGGATCAGTGGGGACACCTGGGCAGGGATGGGGCTCAGGCACCTCATGGGTGCTGGCTGTGTTTAGCATTGGGGTCAAACCCTGGGGTAGGGGCAACCAGGCAGTATCAGCTTGTTCCCAAATCCTAGCCAGTCACAGCCTGGCTCATCCACAGCTAAACTGGGGCAGTTCTGTAGATCTCCTGGTCTGTGAGCTGCAAACTGGGTGGGGGCTGAAGAGGATCCTCACCCCAGGCAGCTGTCCCAGCTAAACCCTCCATACCTGGGGGCCAGGCACCACAGCACCCAGGAAAGGGGTTTGCCCAGAGATGGCCACCCAAGGGATAGGGATGGGTGGAAGACAGCAGGGGTAGCGATGAGGACAGGCACCTGAGCCCAGCCCAGCACCTCTCCCTGGGGACAGCCCACCCATCACAGCCTCCTCTTGCCTTCATTGCAGAGCCAGGACTGGACCAAGAATGATGAGAAGCTCCTGCAAGCTGTGGATTACAATGATGCCGGGAGGGTAACATCTCTCCTCGTCCGCAAGGGCCTGGTCCCCACCAAGCTGGACTCAGAAGGCAAATCCGCGTAAGTGCTGACCCACGTCCCTGGGACACCGGGGACACAGGGCTGGGGACAAGGCTGGAGGCCAGGGACATGAGTCCAACAGCCCATGGTCTTGCTGCAGGTTCCACCTGGCCGCCATGCGGGGGAATGTGGACTGCCTTGAAGCCATGCTGGCTCACGGTGTGGATGCCATGACCAAGGATAGCTCAGGTGAGGGCATGGCCGCCATGCGCCCCTGGCTAACGCCGTGGACCACCCAGGGCCACTAGTGCTCCCTAGTTGTTCCCACCCTGCCAGCAGTTGAGGCTGAGGGGACAGAGGTGATGGCCATACCTGTGGTGGCTGTAAATTGTCCCAGCTTCCTATGGGGACTCAAGCACTGACTGATGGTGCTCCTGGGGATGTCCCCTTCCTATTCAGCCCCAGTCCAGCAGATCCTCCTGTGTGCCCATCTGTCTGTCTGTCACCCAGCCACAGATCCATTGTCTGTTCTCTGACCTGTCTATCTGTCCCTCTCCCCAGGTTACACTGCCCTGCATCTGGCATCCAAGCATGGCCACCCGCAGTGCGTCAGCAAGCTGTTGCAGGTACTGGGGCTGGGAGGACAGTGCTGCAAGGGAGGGAGGGTGCTGTGCCAGTGAGGTGTCCTCTCTGTCCTTGAACTCCCTTCCGTCACCAGTGGTGGTGATTGGCATGGTCGTTCCTGGCACTGTGTGGTGCTGCGCGGCACCCACCCATCCCTCCACCATGCCAAGGAGCCACATCCGCTTGAGCAGTCTGTCTGTCTGTCCGTCCCCTGTCCTCCTGTAACCCAGGCTCTCTCCCTCAGGCCTCCTGCCCTGTGGACGTGGCTGACGGCAGCGGCCGAACAGCGCTGCACCATGCAGGTGAGTGGGGACAGTGCCAGCCCCGTCCTGCTCATGTCCCCGTGGGAGGCAGAGTGCTCAGCCTCTGTCCTTCTCCCCAGCGGTCAGTGGCTGCATCTCGTGCTCGGAGATCCTCTGTGATTTCAAGGCTCCCTTGAACATCAAGGACAAGGTGAGATCCCTCTGCTCCTCACCCTGCCATGCTGCGCAGTGCAGCAAGGGACTGGGCTGGGGCTGCCTCTGAAATGCAGCAGCTTCTGGGGTGGAATGCAGCAGCTGGCAGTACCTTGGGTTCCTGGGGTGAAAACACACCATGAAGTGGGATGTGGAAATCTGGGAGATAACAGGAGCAGGGTGCCCCATGGGGAAATCTGAGCCTCGTCTGCACATCCTCACCCAACCTGACCTTGCCCAGGATGGCTCCACGCCGCTGATCCTTGCTGCCAAGATGAGCCACTCAGAGCTGTGCCGGTACCTGCTGCACCGCGGCGCAGCTGTCAACAGCCGGGACTTGCAGGGGAGGTGAGTCTGCACTGGGGGGGACTGGGGGTGGATGGCAAGACAGAGGAAATGGGCCCCCTCACCTCTGCTCTCACTGCTCTGCTCAGGACAGCCTTGATGCTGGCCTGCGAGAATGGCAGCGTGGAGACAGTGGAGGTGCTCATCAACGCTGGTGCCCGGGTGGCTGTGGTGGACTCCACAGGTCACGATGCCACGCACTACAGCCTGGCCACAGGCAATGCTCTTATCCAGCACTTCCTGCAAGAAGCTGCTCCACGGCAGTCCTGGGCCAGCGGTAAGGCAGCCGTGCTACCCTGGTGCTCCTTGTCTACAGGGGATGGACCCACGAGGGTGTTTTCACCCTGCAGGGTGCTTTGGGGCAGAGCTGTCTCTAACCCATGGCTGGAAGAGGCTGAGCAAGGGGTGGGGGCATATGTCCCCTTTTCCCATGCGCTGGGGGTGCCTTTGCCCATGCTGTTGCCGGCCGAGGGCTGGGAGGTGGTGCTGAGCCTTCGTTGCCTGTCTCACTGTGTGCACATGCTTGCGTGTACATGTTCACACGTGTTTGCAAGCATGGGGGAATAAGTGCATGTGTGTATCAGCCAGTGTGTTTGTACATGTCTGTCTGTGCCTGCCTGTGTGCATGTGCCTCCCCGTGTCCGCACATGGGTGTGCGCCCCTGTGATTACACATCCATGTATATCCCCATATTTGTCTGTCTGCGTGTGTCCCTTATATGCACATGTGGCCCCTGGGCATGTGTGTGTGTGTTTGTGCCCCTTGAGTGCCCACGCCCGTATGAGCACATGCAGGGGTGCCCCTGCACCCACATGGGCTCTGCCTGCTGTGCCCACCCCTACAATCCCCTAAACCTTCCAAATTTCTCTTTCTTCCTGCTCTGCCCCACAGAAGAGGAATCAACCGAGCAGACGTCCCAGGTAAGGGCCTGCCTGTCTGCCCACCTCTCATCAGGGCTGGCCTGGTCTCAGCCCCTGGGGTGGGGGGTCCCCAGGAGCCCTGGGGCTCTCCAAGGTGGCGATGGGTCAGGAAGGAGGAAAGCCACTTTATATGTGATGTCCTCTCTACCCTGGTGTCTCTGCAGACGTCTTCGCCCAGCCAGTTATCCGTCAGGGAGAAGAGCAGCACCCCAAGGAAGAGGAAAGCCCCTCTGCCTCCCCTGGGCACCCCCAGCCAGGTGAGAGAGGGGTCCCCCTTAGCTCCATGTCCGCACCCAGCTTGGCAGGCACAGGGTAGCCAAACTATGGCCGGCTCAGGCAAACTTCTCCAGCTTTGCCTGCCCCTTCAGTGGAGGTGACGCTCACGGGCTGGCCTGAGCTGCAGTGGAGGCTTCATCCCCACTCCTGGGGTGCATGCAGCACCCCAGGCCCCAAGCATGTGCTGTTGGCAGGGCAGAGGCTATGAGCCCCTGTCTATCCACCCTGTGGGCCCAAAACACCCCTCACCTGGGGGGCTGTGCTGGCATTGGGGGGTCCATGCCCTGCCAGAGCCTTTCCTTCTCTCTCTGGTGTCAAAAAGCACCCTGCACACCCTGGAGTGTGGCTTGCCCATGGGGGCACGTAGTGCCTGGAGAGCTGCCGCTGAGCCTGGCTGGGCTCAGCCTGCCGCAGCCCCCCTGGTGAGGATGAGCAGGAGGGCGCCGACAGCGCGGAGGGGGCTGGCAGTGCCTGGCACTGAGGCTTGGCAGCTGCTCATCTGCAGGAGGACCGGGATGCCTACGAGGAGATTGTGCGGCTGCGGCAGGAGCGGGCCCAGTTCTTGCAAAAGATCCGGGGCTTGGAGCAGCAGGAGAAGCAGAGACGGGAGGTACCAGTGAGCCGCAGGGTCGCTGGGGAGATGCCACCATGTCCCTCGGGAGCAGAGCAGGCAGGAGGGATGGGGACAGCATTTATCCCTCCCTGTTTTCTCTTTGTGTCCTGCTAGCGGGCAGAGCTGGACGAGGGCTCCTTGCGCTCCATGGAGAAGCAGGTGAGGCCAGCGAAGAGGTCATGGGTGCCCTCAGCTCTCTTGAGGGGTCCTGGTGCTTGGGGATGCTATTGGGACTCTGGTGGGAGCAAAGGGGACCCTGTGTCTGTGTCCTGCCGCACAGATCCAGGAGCTAGAGGAGCGGCTGGCGGCGCGGGATGGTGAGAAGGAGCAGCTGGGCAAGGAGGTGGAGGCTCTGCGGAGCCGCTTGTCCTCACTGGAGGTAGGTGCAGGTAGCAGCTGGCAGTGCCAGGGGCTGGGGTGCGTGGGGGCTGACCACCACTCTGCACCCCCAGAATGAGAAGGAGAACACGAGCTATGACATCGAGACACTGCAGGATGAGGAGGGAGACCCGCTTGAGTTCCCAGGTAGGTCCCTGCCGGCCTCCTGAGATCCCCATGGGGCTGGGCAGCCCTCGGGGAGGTGGCACCCTGCAGCGGGGAATGGGGGCATGGGTGGGCATGGCACCGGAGTCCCTGTGCCCTGCAGGGGCAGAGCTGCTGCTCTCCAAGAAGACACTGAGCCCCTCGGCCGAGGAGCTGCTGGCCACGCTGCAGGGGCAGGTGCAGTCCCTCACCGTGCAGAACAAGGAGCTGAGGGAGAAAATACAGGCAAGTGTCCTTCTGTCAGTCTGTCCCTCCCTGCCTCTGGCCCCTGGTGGCTTCACCATCTCCTTGGCAGGTGCTGGAGAACTACGAGCGGGACGAGAGCAACCC